ATTTTTGTAAGATGTGGGTCTGTATGTCAACAACTGTCGTTTGTGTACCCTGGCTGGTCCTGGACAGGGATTTAATGCACATTCAGCTTAGAAATTCTGGTTCGAGAATTTCTGGGTGTGACAGTAGAGCAGGTACAATAGCAGGCTATAAGCTAGCTATAAACATATTTTAAAGAGATAAAGGAAGAGAGAGAAGAGCAGCGGGCTACAGATCTGTAGCCAGCTATAACACGAACTCCAAGACATAATGTGTATATGACATGTAGGACCAGGTATTAATAGTATAGTAAGTAACTATTGTATGAATTGGCTATTACATTGGCTATAGATAAATTGGAGTTAGTAGTTGGCTATACTATTAAACTTGCTCGTAGTGGGCTGTACTATTAGACTTGCTCTTAGTAGTAATTGGGAGACTGATTAATAGTAACTGGCACCATAAATAAACTGACAACTTACTCTTGTTTTCTTCTGAGGAAAACTACGAAACCCCTTGTCCGTTGGCAATAAGTTTTGCAAATTTATTGGCCACCTACACATAAGTGAAGTGCTTCCTTAACCTGTTGGTTGCAGCTTCTTCAAGGTCCCCTACCCCGCACATCTCTCTTAGAGCAGGTACAATAGCAGGCTATAAGCCAACTATAAACATATTTTTAAGAGTAAAAAAAAAAGAGAAGAGCAGCGGGCTACAGATCTGTAGCCAGCTACAGCACGGACTCCAAGACGTAATGTGTGTATGACAGGTGGGACCATGTATTAATAGTATAGTAAACAACTATTGTATGAATTGGCTATTACATTAGCTATAGATGATTTGGAGCTAGTAGTGGGCTATACTATTAAACTTGCTCTTAGGGGGTGTTTGGGAGAGAGGTTTAGCCCCGCTCTCCTAAACACAACCTCTCTCCCAAACACCCACTTAACCTCTGTCACTCTGGAATTGGAATAGGATGCAAGTTGTCAATCCCACTACATGTACTGCTTAACTGTTTATTTAGTACTCTGTGGTATTTTAATTGCAGCTGTGGTTTTTTTTTTCCATCGTTAAATAAAAAGGACGATCAAACGTTGGACAGATAAACCCACAACTACACTTAAAATGGGAAGAAGAGAGTATAATAAATTTTAGAAGAGAGAAAAAAAAACTGCTTGTCCGCCCACCTGATTTACCACTCTCTCTAAAAATGCTGAACGGATGAATGATGAATGTAGACATGGCCTACCCCTGCATCTCTCTCTAGAATGATGAATGAGTGAATGGTGAATGGATGAATGGTGAAACTAGGCATGGCCCAACAATTTCTTTGATTTATTAGATGTTCAGAGAAGTACAATTTGATGTGCCCGTGTGTGTCCTTAATGGCACAGAATCCTCTGCTGAGAGAGTGTGTGTGCACAGAATCCCCTACTGAAACAAGACAGCCTTGTAGGGTGTACTTTGTGTGTATCTTTGTAGTGTACTATACTAGCAATAAAATGATATTGATAAATCACAATTAGGAGGGACATAATTCGATGACAGCTACTTGTGCCTTGGTGAATTACTATTTGACAGCTACCATTTTTAATTGGGTTGAATTATAGTAGTAGGACCTAAGACCAATAATTAAAATTGTGGAGTTGGATCTCGACAGAATCATTTTGATCTTGACAGTTTTGGTTCGTTCTGATTTGATAAAAACCACAAATTCTTACAAGTTTAGATAGTTTTTCCTTTCCTATGAAATACTTCCAGCTTTAAAAACTTTTGTTTGTTTTGATGAACTTTCATATATAAGAGTTATGTGTAAATTGTGATTAAATTTTAGTAACTAGAAAAATCTCAAATTGGGGATGTCATGTCATTCTGTTCAGTTTTCAAAGTGCAGAGTGAGCTTTCAACTATTTTTCGAACGGTCAGGCCTTTGCCGACGTTTTATATAAAGAAGAAGGTGTCCTATTTTAGGAGAAAACATGACCAAAACCTTACAATGCACAGTTAATTTGGGGAAACTGCGCGAAAATGGCGGAGCCCAAAACAACCATCGATAAAAAGCTTGTTGTAAGCGAAACAAAGGTTTCGACTTCGCGAGGTAAGTGTTATCATTGCCGAGCTTGTCGCCTAGCGACATAGCAGCTTCGACTCCATAGCTATCACATTATTATTGCCAAAGGCATTGCAGAAATGAGTAAGACACCGACTGTCCACTTTGAACATCAGCCCAAACCGTCAGAGCTCCATATCTTGTACACAGCTAACACCAACACCCCTCGAAGACTGCAACGTGTTATCGTTGCCAAGCTTCATCGCACCACAGCAAAGCAGCTCCGACTTCACCTAGAAGAAAAGGAAGGAAGTTGGACGCTCGCCACATCCAAGAACGGAACCCAAGATGCGAAGGCCTCACCGAATAGCTAGGCTTACAGAGATTCGACGCGGGGGTCCATGAACGACCATCGTTGCACGGGAAAGATTCTCGATAGCGAGGGAAGACACCATAATGACGCCTCCAAGGAGGGGAACGATGCCTAATGGCGCTGCCGTCATCAAGCCAACCAAAGGCCAGCCAAGGCTTTCGCCAGCGTCATCCAAAGCCACACAACCCACCCGCACAACGTACATCGCCAGACCGCCACATCATCCCTCTAGTCGCCAAGCCTAGCCCCACCACCCACAGCTCAGGCAGGCTCACGAGTCCGCCGTGCCGCCATGCCGCCGCTATCCTCTACTGCACCGGTTGACCAAGCGTGAGACATTGCCGTGGGCGCCCGCAGCGCTGCCAACCCAGACTAGGCCAGCTGCTACCACAAGCACCCACAGCTTCGTTGCGCCACTGCCAGGATAATCTGCCTCCCGCAACCGTTGGTGGGCGCAGCCGGTAGCCGCCATTGTCTCCGTACCAACGAGGCATGCACCCGACCCCCTGTCTCCGTCGTAGCACCAGGTCCCGCCTCCGTCGCACGCGCCCGGCTCCCTCCTCCGTCGCTGGCCTCATGCAGCCGTCCTAGCGTTGGCGACGGCGCGCCGGCCCACACCTCGCCTTGGCTGCTCATCGTCGTCGCTTCCGACCGGGAGGGTGCCGGATCTAGCCAAGGGGCGTCGGATCCGGCCGCCTTCATCACCGGACTGAGGGCCGCCGCCACCTCGCGTCTCTCGGCCCCTCCAAGACCGTCACCGCTGCGTATCTGAGCTCGGCAGCACCGGAACTAGACATCGTCGTCGGCACCGCCTCCGGTCTCTTGGCCTAGATTCGGCGGTGCCCAGCGCAAACCCCGGCGCCAGCTTCCTCCTTCCCTGCCTCCACCTCTTCCCGTGCGCCCGCCTCGATGCCGGTGTTGCTTCATCAGGCTCCACCTTTTGGTCCGCCGCGTCGGATTTGGGGGTGACCGCCACCGTGAGCCCCCCGCCTTCGTCCTTGCTAGCCACCGGCTTTGCCAGCTACTCGCTTAGGCGGCGGCGAGGCAAAGAGTATATGCGGAGAGGGGCGGCGACGACGGCTAGGTTTCCGCCGCCTGAGTCGCCCACGCGGGAGGCGACATGGGGGCCTCTGTGTGTGATTGAACTTTCAACTATGAAACTGTCGATTTTTGAGTGTTTTTTTTAATGTGCACAATAACTTAGGGAAGTCATTTTAACTCTCTTTTTAAATTAATTTTCGGCTGCAGAAGAGAGGCTTCAATCTACATTATCAAAATATATAAACACAAAGTACAAAGTGCTAAAGCAACATCCAAATTGTCCATATATAGCAACGTGGATGGGAGAGGCTAGAGACTAGCTAGACCATAAAAGATGTACATATGCACGCCTAGAATCATGGGAGAAAGCCAAGAATCCCTCAAAAATTGTTGAAGCTCAAGAGATGAGAACAAAGTCAAGAAAGGAGAATGGTTTGGCAACTTCTGATGGAAGGGAGACTTGTTGCTTTCTTGATTTCTTCTACTACTACTTGTTGGTATAGAGAAGGACAGACAAACATCCTAGCTTTCTTGCCTAAACCATACTAGCATGCTGCTGATCTGTCTCAAAACACCATCATAATACCAAAACTGATGTGTGATGATTATCCTTGATTAACAGGAGGTGCTTGTCTTTGTTCCAAAAGCACATGAAAACAGCGGCTTACGTCGACATAATATTCTCCTTTCGAGATCACATGTAATTTTGGGTTAGGTGGTGATCCAGACAGATGTATTGGTAGCAAGCAGTACAGGTATAATAAGGTTTTGTCTTTTGTCCTTTCCGATTGCTCTTTTTTTAATTTTTTTGTGGTTTTTTGTGCTACAGTAAATGGCTGCATTTCCAAGCATACAAACACCACACTCTAGCGGTGCCGTGGCAGAGTTTAAAGAAATATTAAGACAAGTAAATAAAATTTTGTGCTAGTCCATATCATTGAAAAAAAAAGGTGAATGCGTGTATTTATAATTCGTCGGGTGGTACTATTCACCCTACGGTGAGTTTCGTTATTAAGTAAGAACAATAATCTCATCATTATCACATGAAATATCTGATTTTTTTTCTAATTAATTCCTAAGCAATAGTATACCATTCCTCATAAGAAGCATCTATTTACCAACTTGTATATATTCTCGATCATAAAATTACTACCTTTGGCGCCTCTATCAAATCACCGATATTAAAAAGAACCATTTTTTTTAAGATGATGTATTAAACTGGTCTCTACACCTAAAGGATCTACAGTCTATTAAAAAGAACCATAGACCGTCTAATAATATTAAAACGGTTGGCGATAATTCTGATAGTAAAAATACTACTATACCAATAAAAACCACCTCACCTCAAAAGTACTTGAAAAGAATACTGAAATGACTGGAATGAAAGTCTGGTCGGGGATCCAGCAAGAATCCAATCAGCCGAACAAAAACCAAAAAGATTTGTTGCAAGCAAAAAACAAAAACGAAAATGTGAAGAAAGAAGCCATCTTTTGCAAAGGTGAGGGGATCCCCTGCGCTTTCTGCTGCCCTGTTTCAGCTTCATCTGCCGCTGCTACGCTGGATACACACGCGCTCGCTTTCTTCCTTCCCTGCGCTGCACTGCACTGCACGCTCTCTCACGCACGCACCACGCAGCACCAGCACCAGCCTCTCTCTCTCTCTCTCTCTCTCTCTCTCTCTCTTCTCTTCTCTCTCTCATGAGTAATAAATGGCAGTGACCAGCAGCAGCAGGGGGGCGTGCGTGGCTGGCTGAAGGCTGTGAGAGTGTGAGGTCTAGCTGTGCAATGTGCAGGTGCAGCCATCGCTGCTGCTGCTGCTGCTCTGCTCTTTTCATGTTGACACTTCGCTAAACCCCTCCCAAAACCTCCTCCCCCCCCCCCCCCCCCCGATGCGTTCTTGGCCAGGGTCGGGAGCGAGGCGTTCTTGATTTTTTTCTTCTTCTGTTTTTGTTCTTGATTGATTGGATTGGGGAGTGATTCGGTTTGTTCTTGATTTTGATTTTTTGTTGTTGTTGTTGTTGTTTGGGGAGAAAGAGACGAAGGGGAAGCTGTGATTTTCTCTTCCTTTCCACCGAGAGAAAATTTTTTGATCTGTTTGTTGTTTCTTGGAATCGGTTTTGGTTCAAGAACAGGCGCCGCCTTTTGTTCCGGGAAATTCGCTTGTGATCCTCCGAAACCCAGAATTTCTTTTTTCGATCCGTTTTGATCGATTGAAAGCAAATATCATCTTGAAAAGGATCGTTCTTGCTGGTGTTGGTTTGGGGAGGAGGGGGAGGTTTTCCCTCTGACGAGCAAGCAAAGCATTTGGGGCCGCCTGTCGATGACTGAGGGTTTGATCCGATGCTGTCGGGGTGCACGGTGTCCAGTCTCGCGGCGAGGTTCGCCTTCTTCCCGCCGGAGCCGGCGACCTACGCCGTCAGGAAGGATGAGGCGTGCGGCGGCGGAGGGCGGCTGGTGGCGTCGGGCGTCCCGCGGGACGCCGCCGTGGACGTGCTGCTGGTGGACACCAGGAAGGGGAGCAAGGTGGTGGCCTTCTACCTGAGGAACCCCGCCGCCCGCCTCACCGTGCTCTACTCGCACGGCAACGCCGCCGACCTCGGCCAGCTCTACGACCTCTTCGTGCAGCTCAAGGTCAATCTCAAGGTCAATCTGATGGGGTTAGTGGTGCCATTATCATGCTGCTTTCTTGGTCATCTATCTATCTATCTATACTATAGTACTAGCATCTTTTCCTGTTGTCTTTTTCTTTATTTATGTACTCTGTTAGTCAAATCAAATGCTTATTTAATTGCTTAGAGATTGTGGTGCAGCAAAGCAATGCATTCCTTGTTAGGAGATACTGTGCTTTGTGGTGTAATTGAAGAATTTGCTTTGGTGAAATTTGTGAGTAGTAGTGTGCAATGCATGTATTGGTTTTGTTAAGCATGAGATAATTGAAAGCAGACAAATAATTGGGAATGGTGGGTATGTGGGGGAGGGGGGGAGTTGCTGCTACTTTTTCCCCACTAGGTATTTTGGGGAGTTGCTCAATAATGAATTGTAGCATGTTCTGTTCAGTCCTGAAGTTTCACTAATTGTTCAAATTATTGCATATCACTGGTTTTAGTCCAGAGCATCCTTAATCTTATCACATAAGTAGTCCAGTCATTACTCCAGGAAGCAGTTCATTTCCCCTTTCATTATGAATTTATGATTTCAATATGTTTTGGAGGTACAGTTATGAGAACATACTGGTGGAATTTACTATGTAATTTTGTATGCAGATATGACTACTCTGGGTATGGAGCATCTACTGGCAAGGTAACTTATTTATCATGTGTGAACTGTGTTAAATCATGCCATGTACATGCTACAGCTGAGTTGATATTCAAGTTTGGCCAGTGATTGCTTATTATACTAGCTGTAAAATTTACTAGTAGCGTTCCTGGACTAATGCAGGCATAATTAGGATTTTAGCAGCCTAATTAGAAAGTTGCCGTAATAAATCTGAAAGGATCTATACATGCTAGATACCTCGACAACTGTGGTTCAGTTTCACTTTTCAAGAATATGCTGCATGTATCTCTACCAGAAGAGAGTTTGGCCCATACCTGACTGGTCCATTTCAGGCATAGCATGGCCAGTGCATCTTAAACTGCTTCTCCATGATAGCAATCATCACTATGTTTTTAACTTATTGTTATATCCTTATAGCTTTTGTTTTTAGCCATGCTTGCTGTCGAAATATGTCAGCCCATTAGATATTTGGGCGCTATATTTTTATAATATATGTCGTGCACTGGATATCACCACATACATGTTCTCTATTTAAGTGGAGTTGTTTACTGTTATTTAATTGTTTGATTCATTCTTGAAGTTTCAAAAAAGTGAATGCCATCCTATCTTGATTATTTTCGGTCATCAATGCTGAGAAACCTGCTTTCAGTACAGGGAGAATTCCCACCTTAGTAATGTTAGGCATGGTGTGTTTGAATCTCTTTTTTGCCTATAGGATATTAATGGCTGCTTGGATGGTATATGTCCATTTGAGCTAAATCAGATGTCACGTAAACTTTTAAATACTGCCCCTTATTGGCGTTTGTACTGAATTACTACTATCAAGTGTTTCTGATTTATTCCTGAAGAAACACACTTTTGAGGCGCCAATCTTATGCTTGTTATTTGAAGTGCAGCCAAGTGAAGAGAATACATATGCAGACATTGAGGCAGTTTACCAGTGCTTAGAAACAGAGTATGGAATCAGTCAGGAAGACCTTATCTTGTATGGACAATCTGTTGGCAGTGGACCTACATTGCATTTAGCTTCCCGTTTACCAAGATTGCGTGGCGTGGTTCTTCATAGCGCTATACTGTCAGGCCTCCGAGTTGTTTGCCATGTGAACTTTACTTTCTGCTTTGACATCTACAAAGTAATATATCGGATTTATTCTTTTTAATCTTTAGCTTTGTTGCCTTTAGGAGTAACTTTTTATATTTTACTAATATCTGATCAACTTTCCTCTGCAGAATGTGAAGAAAATCAAAAAGGTTAAATCCCCAGTGCTTGTTATTCATGTAAGTATCTTACTAATTAAATAGGAATCTTTTTCTGTATATATTTGCTGTTCTCTTGGATAGTTTGTTATACATTCAAATCAATCTGCATCTTCCGCTTTTTCAATCTTTTGGAATAATTAACTGCTTATGCTTTGGTAGTGCTGTGGTTACCGATGCTACTTAGTTGCGGTTATTGGAGAAATAGCCAGATAATCAAACTAGTTCTAGTAACAGGCGATCAATGTATTCAAGTCCTAGCAAGCTAGTTCATGACTATACAAAAGATGTTATAGTAGGGTAGTAAGGTACTGTTGCATATATTCCTTTATACTCCCTCCGTTTTTTAATAGATGACGCCGTTGACTTTTTCTCACATGTTTGACCATTCGTCTTATTCAAAAAAATTACGTAATTATAATTTATTTTGTAATAGGTTGTTTTATCACTCATAGTACTTTAAGTGTGATTTATATCTTATACATTTGCATAAAATTTTTGAATAAGACGAATGGTCAAACATGTGAGAAAAAGTCAACGGCGTCATCTATTAAAAAACGGAGGTAGTACATGTTAAAGTAAAGACCAAAAGAAATCGGCCTCATTTCTTTTAGTAATATACTATATACCTGAAACTGCTTCAACTAGTTTACGACTGCAGTTATAGGCTAATCCATTGGACTGGAATACAATAAATAGAATGGACTCTCAAAGAAGAAATAAATCATAGAATATTAGAACAACTGATGTGCATTAGCACATGCTGGACATTAGGACATATGAGGAGGTGGGAGGTGCCACTAACTATGGCAGTGTCACGCTGTGAACTTCTGCTGTTCTGGGTTTGTTTGAGACTAAGCCAAATGTGTAGTCATTGAAGACAGCTGTGGGGTTAGGCCCATATTTTCTGGCCCAAAACTTGCATAGGTATCTGAAAGTAGGAGGTCTGGAGAGTTATGTGGCAGGAAGCCAAGCCAGGAAATGTAATGTAATCGACAGCTCTAACTGAAACATCCCTTATAAGTTATTTTTAGGGAACAAACCCTTATAAGTAATCACACTTCATAATGAGGCACATTACTCCTCTAACTGAAACATCCCTTATAAGTTATTTTTAGGGAACAAACCCTTATAAGTAATCACACTTCATAATGAGGCACATTACTCATCTATAAAATCAATGTGGATAGATTGATCATCATGACCTACATGTGAGCTGTCGATTAGATTAGATTTCCTGGCTTCCTGTCACATAACTCTCCACGCCTCCTATTTTCAGATTATGAAATGACTTCGTGGCAATTAGGTAAAAACAATTAACGTTGCTTTTCCCACCATTTTGATGATGCCATGAAACTGGGGGACCTATATCTTTTCTACAGACGCACACTTTGACCTTGACCAGTTTTAAAACCAATGCAACAGCAGCTTCCTGACCAAACGAACCTGTTTTGTTGAAGACAAATAATATGAGGGTTTTATAATATCTAATGTTGATAATTTATCTTACTCTGTCAAATTTTATTTAATGCGCTCTCCACAATCGTGTTGTGTCCATTTCTTTCCTAAATTTCCTGAGTATCAACTTCATTGTATGCCCGATTGATATTGGCAGGGAACTGATGATGATGTCGTGAACTGGTCGCATGGTAACGAGCTGTGGAAACTGGCGAGGGAGCCTTACGATCCGCTATGGATCAAAGGAGGAGGCCATTGCAACCTGGAGCTGTACCCGGACTTCATCCGCCACCTCTCCAAGTTCATCCGCGAGATGGAGAACATCACAACGAAGACAAGGCTTAAGAAGATCCGGCAGTCCCTGCAACCCGCACCTAAGAAGGTCCACCACCGGGCGAGCACCGGGACGACCACCACCTTCACCACCAACTGCTGCTGCCGCATCCGGGTCCGCAAACCGAGTTGCCGTTGCCCTGGCTGCAACCTAAGCTGCGGCTGCTGCTCTGGTCTGATGAGTTGCTTCTCATCCCGGCTGTTCAAGTGCTCAACCTGCTTCTCCTCCTGCAGCTGCAGGGGATGCTTCAAGTGCCCAACCTGCTTCTCCTTCTCCTGCAGCTGCTGCAGGAGCTGCCTCAAGTGCCCAACCTTCAAATGCTGCTGCTGCGGTTCATGCAGAGATGAGCAATAATGCAAATCTCTATGTGCTTGTGTATAGGAAAAAGAGTGGTTCCGATATATCTGACAAGTTTAATTCTGTAGAAACTAGACCTTGGTTCTCTTAGCTAAACAAACCATAGCAAGATAAAGATGCTTCTCCTTTTCTGTTGCTTGTCTTGATTCTTGTCGTTGGTTTCTTCTTCTTGTTTTTTTTTTTGTGTGTGTTCTCTTCTAATTAGGTTATTTGTTGCAAAACCTATGCTTTTAGTGCTTAGCATCAGTTTATACTAATTTTTATTGGCATTTATTCAAAATAATTAGAGGCCTCTAATTTGATAATTTCACCGTTTAGTCACAAATGGGACGTTCGATTATAGGTGTAGATTGGTCAGTTGTGAGTATTAGAGTTTGTATGCTCCCTTCACCCTTTTATAACACATCACATTTTAACAATTTATTACTATACTAGCAAAATGCCCGTGCTTCGCTACGGGTTTATAAAACGATAGCAATATGCACATGCGTTGCAACGGGTGAAACTAATATTATTAACAATAAATAAATACTAATAATTAAAATTTAAGTATCACAACATTATGATGAGTAAATATTGGAGTTTTCGGCTAAATATCTTGTTGGTTCCGGTTAGCTCCCGCTGGGCCATTAGTTTTTGTCATTGGATCGAAATCAACATCCAGGATTTCATTGTAGCAGTGTGAGTCGGCTCAGGCTGCATGTCATCCGTAGGATCTTGACTGAACGGTCCAGATTTCTCCGTTAACAAACAAAAATCATACCCGGTCAAACCCTAACCATTTCTCCCATTCCTCCCCGATTCATACCGCGCTAGAAATGAGCAGCGACAACGGCTGTGATTTGGCGGAGCTGTGACGACGGCGTACCCATGCGCGGCGGCCTCTGATGCTGTGCACAGCTCCGGCGGAGCTGAAGCCGACGGGAAATAATAATTATTTTGACCTGAAACAATCTACTGAGTGTTTAAATAATTGAACATAATTTCCTAGCAATTTTAAATGGCTTAAAATAGTGCCAAACAAATTTCTATAAATCTAAAAAAAATTAAATCAATTACTTTGAAAAATAAAATGATTTGGGCCTTAGTAAGTTTCGGGGACAACTTGAGGGACCAAAACTGAACTTATCCGTGCGGAGCGTACACATGGCCCAATTGTGTGATGGCCCGGGAACGGCAGCCCGATGCGGGAGAATACGCAGCCGTCCGATCTGATCGACGGTCACGATTGATCCGGACATATATATACAAAAAGTCGGCAGCCTAACCCTAACCCTAAATCATTTCCCCTCCCCCATCTCTCTCTCTCTCAAACGACTGCGACGGCGCCTTCCCCCTCCCCCCATCGGCGGCGACGCTCCCCTTCCCTCTCCCCACTGGCGGCGACGTTCCACCTCCCTCTCTCCCTCCCGTCTCTTCTCCCTCCAGCGGCGGTGGCAACGGTCGAGGGCCGCGGTGGCGATGGCTGAGGGCGGATCCGGTGGCCCCTCTAGCCTCCCTCCCGCGGCAGATCCGCTGGCGGTGGCGGCGGCGTCGGCGGCAGCCGCGGGTGGATTTGGCGGCGGCAGGCGGCTCCCTCTGCCCCCTCTCGCTTTCCTCCCGCGGCGGATCCGGCGACGGTGGCGGCGTTGGCAGCAGCCGCGAGCAGATCCGGCGGCGGCGGGCAGGTCCAGCGGCGGCGGCTCCCTCCGCTCCCTCACACCGCACCTATCCCCCTCCGCCGCGGCGGCACCGCTCCTCCTCCCCATCCGACGGCGGTGCCGTTCCTCCTCCCCCTCGCACGGTGGCGGGCGGGTGCGGCGTCATCCCCTCCGCCGGATCCAGCGGGAGGGGAGGCTCCCCCTCTCCCACCAGCGGCGGCGCCGTTCACCCTCCCCCTCCCCCTCCCCCTCCCACGGTGGCGGGCAGGGATGGCACCCTCCCCTCCGCCGGATCCAGCGGGAGGAGAGGCAACGGCGGCCCGGCGTCCCTGCAACAACGACGACGGCACCCTTCCCTTCCGGTGTCGGCATTTTTGTGCTTGTGATGTTCTTGTGTTGTCGTTGTTGTTGATGAAATATGTTCTTGTGATCTTTTAGTAGTGTTTTCTCTAGGATTTTGTGATGATTCCAATTTGTATTTGGATTGGGATTGAGATTGAGATTTTGTTTTTGGGTTGGATTGGATGTGGGATTTGGAGGGGAGGTGCGCCATGAATCGGATGAGGAAAAATTAGTCCGTAATGACGGATGAAAACGCGATGAAGGACGGATGTTACGACCGAAAAAATCCGAATATTTATATTAGTTATAGATTTGAATATAAATGTAGTTTGACTTTGACCAAAGTCAAAATATTTTATAACATCATTTTCCTTGTATGCATAAAAGAAACCAAATAAATAATAATTTCATTGTTCCGTTTGTTACTTCAGACGGGACGACATTCAATTCGCTCAAAGTCCAGTTTTGTTTACCAGCTCAACGCTGATTGAGATGCCATACGGTTGGCCAACATTAGTACTTCCTCCGTTTTATAATGTAAGACTTTTTAGCACTATCCACATTCATATAGATATTATGTGTCTAGATTTATTAGCATCTATTTGAATATAGGCAATGCTAGAAAATCTTACATTATGAAAAACGGAGGGAGTATTTAGTAACCACTATTACGATGCAAGACTTGGGAGGGTCAAATCGCATTTGTGGAAATAGTCAGGGTATAAATAGCAATCTTCTGTGAAAAAAAGAACATTAATATCGTAGTCTTCAAGAAAAACAGAATTTGCGTTTTCGTTATGGTAACGATAATTACTTAGATATGTGCATTTCTCTTTCTACATAATATATAAACATTAATAACCTCCATCACGATGCAATACATAAGAGGCCGGTCCAAACTTATCATTTTTGAAAGCACCGACTACGAAGGGGCTGTAAATTAGGCTACTTTCATTCTACATATAATAATAATAATAAACATAGAAAAAGCCAGCAGAAGAAACGAAATCTAAAGGTGAGTAGCATAATGTAAAGCCATCCTCGCTGCCTTTCAACCTACAAGTTGAAAAAGGGTTAAAAAAAATTACACCACAGCAAAAGGAATATTTTTATATTCAAATTGGTAAAGTAACTTACCTTTGAGCACATATGTTGTTATCTTGGCTCTGAAATCTAGTTTTTTGCAAGCTGCGTAAGGTACCTTCAAGGATCTCAACCCTCCGAATATCACTAAGCAACTCGTCCTTTTTCATCTGAATGTCCTGTATATTCAGACATGTCAGTTCTTGAAGAAGGATCTGAAGATGAACGTAGGTATTACTTGGAATAGAACAAAAACATATCTGTAATAGATTGTTGATGTACAACGACAAGTAAACAAATATTGCTATCTGCTGTAGCACAAGTTTATGCACTTTGACTTTTCCACAGCGCAAGTTGTGAAAGCCTTCGTTGAAAAGGAAGCAAATTGCAGGAGCCAACCCCCTCTAGAACTTAACAATTATTCCTTTGAGGAATGTTGAGAAATTTCATATTATTGATGTGTTTGTTTCACAAAAAAAGTGAAGTAAATTTCGCAAAACTACAGATTTATAAGACACATTATTACAAAACTATAAATTAAGTTGTAAATTTATCCCAAAACTACAGATTTAGTACCAATTGAATCACAAAACTAAAACGTTCATAGCTATAACATAATAATAGTGCTAGGGATTTGAACTCTAAAATCGATTTGAACTCTAAAAATCTATAGTTTTATGATAATATCGATATAAAATATGTCGTTATACGATACTTTGCCTTAAATATGTAGTTTTCTAATAAAAAATTGACGCTAAATTTGCGGTTTTGTGATATAATGCATTAAATCTGTAGTTTTGTAATAGTTGGATCTAACATATCTGTAGTTTTGTGAAATTTACTTAACCTGATAAGTTATAATGTGACAATACCGAGCCTTTGAGAACAAAAGGTGCCTCTCTTAAAAAAAGAAAGAAACACTGTCTAGCTACGATTTAACCCGTTGAGGGTTTTGCAGTCTCAAGTCTCAATAGAGACTCTTCAAGCAAGATGGTTACTGATGCTAATGCGATGAACTACCATGGATTTGTATTCATATAATAAACAATGATGGAATTCAAGGTTTTCTTGTTAGTGACCAATTTGGCCACGGGGCACTGTAGAAAAAACTAGGGTGGCAACAAAATAGATGTATTTTTTTTATGTGAATAACCTGTACGGTCAGTTGTTTGCTGTGTTCTTCACTCCTCTGACTCACTTCCTGTAAGAGAAAGAAAAAGCTATAAATATGGTACAAAATCTAGTTCAACGTATATAAAGAATAGCAATAGAGGCACGCCTTAACCTTATCCTCAAACAGCGAAACATTTGAAAGAAGTTTGTGTTGTGCAAGTTTCTCATCAAGAGATTTCTGCACCAACAGAATACTTGCCAGGTTCATCTCTGTGTCACAAACAGCTTGTGCTAATTTGATACCGTCCTGTTAAAAACATCATGGAGTGGCACAATTAGTGTTGATAGGAAGTGCTAAAGCCAGAGGACGCTACTACTTTTAAAAGATAGTAGCGGTGACGGCAGTAAATCTGCCAGCTCTATCACTAACGTATGGGCCCTACATGTTCGTGAAACCCACATGCTCAATAAATTTTAAGCGTGCCCTAAAAGAACAGTGCCTATATACAAAATAAGTCCATATTATTTGGTAAGATCTTACAAGTATGTAGTGAAGGAATCCATATAGTTAAAGGGGTCGGAAAAAGTCGATCTACACATTCTTTAAATAATGAAAGTGCAGTGCGTAAATCATGATTTTTTTTTTGTCGTTGGATTATACGCGTAGGTAATTTGCTAGTAACATAGGGAGTGTTTATATTTAGGGGTGTAAAGTTTTGGCGTGTCACATCAGGTATTATATAGGATATCTTATGGGTGTTTGGGCACTAATAAAAAAACTAATTACAGAATCCGTTAGTAAACCGCGAGACAAATTTATTAAGCCTAATTAATCAATCATTAGTAAATATTTAATGTAGCACAACATTATCAAATCATGGAGTAATTAGGCTTAAAAGATTCGTCTCGCAAATTAGTCGTAATCTATACAACTAATTATTTTTTAGACTATATTTAATACTTCA